CCCCCCCCAGTAGTGGGTAGGGTTGGGGTGCCCAGGAGGCACCTGACCCAGCCTGGGGCTCAGCGAGGGCTTCCTGGAGGAGGAGGTGGAGCACCGAGCCAGGAAAATCAGACCAAGGCTGTACTCTGCTGCCCTGCGCTTCGCTTCCGCGGCACCTCGCACGCGTTCCTTCACTCCTTAGGGCCTTCATTCCCGCTCCCGTCCTCTCTGCCCCTCGGGCGCTCGGCTTCTGCCCACCCACGACCTTGGGCCCCGCCCCCAGCCCTTTTCCCGTCCGTGCCCGGGCGCAGGCCCCTCCTCCCGCACCCGCGTCAGCGTTTTCGTCCGGGGAGTTGGGGGGGGGGGGGGGGGGGGCCCCCCCCCCCCCCCCTGGGCCCCCCCCCCCGCGCGGGCCCCCCCCCCCCCCCCCCCCCCGCCCCCGTTTTGGGGGGGGGGGGGGGGGGGGGGGGGGGGGCTGGCTCCACCTCCCACTCCTGGGCCCCGCCCCTCACGCGGTCCCCCGCGCCCGCCCTCCCCTCGCTCCCCGCAGCGCTGATGCAGCAGGAGGCGGCGCAGCGCGAGGCCGAGGAGCTGCGGCGCGTGCGGTGGCAGCCGCGGGCGGTGCGCGGCTGGGGCTTCCCGCGGCTGCTGTGGTACCTGGTGTTCCTGCAGCCGGTCATCACCGAGGTGCACCTGCGGCGCAAGAACGTGAAGTTCCTCTTCATCCGCTTCAGCGCCTGGCAGTACGCGGGCACCGACAAGCTGTGGGCCGGCCTGGTGACCACGCTGTGCGAGGGCATCCGCCACCACTACGGCGCGCTGCCCTTCAGCGTGTACTCGGTGCTGGGCAACAAGCCGGCCACGACGCCGGGCTTCTGCCAGCGCGAGTGGCACTGCCGGCGCCGCGTGTGCCTGGCGCTGCTGGCGCTGCTGGCGGCGCTCGGCCTCGGCGTGGGCCTGCTCTACCTGTCGGTGGGCGCCCGCGCGCCGGGCCACGGCGCCGCCGGCGGCAGCCTGCTCCGGGTGTTCGGCGGCGCGGCCACCACGCTGTCGGGCTCGGGGCTGCTCATGGCCGTGTACTCGGTGGGCAAGCACCTGTTCGTGAGCCAGCGCAAGAAGATCGAGCGGCTGGTGTCTCGCGAGAAGTTCGGCAGCCAGCTGGGCTTCATGTGCGAGGTGAAGAAGGAGGTGGAGCTGCTCACCGACTTCCTGTGCTTCCTGGAGATCTACCAGCGGCGCCGGCTGCGCGTCGTGCTCGAGGTCACCGGGCTGGACACGTGCTACCCGGAGCGCGTGGTGGGCGTGCTCAACGCCATCAACACGCTGCTGTCCGACAGCCACGCGCCCTTCATCTTCATCCTGGTGGTGGACCCCAGCATCCTGGCCGCGTGCCTCGAGAGCGCCGGCTCCATGAAGGGCACGGCCGACAACGGCTACCTCTTCCTCAACCGCACGGTCACGCTGCCCTTCTCCGTGCCCATCATGGGCCGCCGCACCAAGCTGCAGTTCCTGCACGACGCCGTGCAGAGCCGCGACGACCTGCTCTACCGCGAGATGACGCGCAGGCTGCGGCCCGGCTGCCGCGGGGGAGGCGGCGAGGTCGCGCAGCTCCTGGCGGTGGAGACGCAGGCGGGCGCGCAGGGCGCGCAGAGCCGCATAGACGCCGAGGCGGCGCGCCGCATCCAGGAGGCGCTCTTCTGCCTGCACGACGAGCGCGACTGCCTGTACGAGTACGTGCCCGACAACGTGGTGTCCATGCGGCGTATCGTCAACACCGTGCCCATCACCGTGCGCCTGCTGCAGCAGCAGGACGGGGACTTCGCGGGCCCCACGCCGCGCCAGGCCGTGGCGTGGGTCGTGCTCGCCAACCAGTGGCCGTGCCGCCTCAGCTGGGCGCTGCAGTGCCTGGAGGACCGGCAGCAGGCGGGGGGCGCGCCCGAGGCCCGCGCGCGCCTCTGGGACGTGTTCTGCGACAACAGCCGCGAGCTGCACGCCATGACCAAGGCGTTGCAGAACGTGCTGGACTTAGACGGCGACCCCGAGCTTTTCGAGCGCTTCCTGGGCGCCGACTTCCCCTTCACCGTGGCCGAGGCGCAGAGCCTGCTGCGCTGCACCGTCAACCTGGACCACTCCATCCGCCGTCGCATGGGCCTCATCCGGGCGGTCAGCGCGCTCAAGCCGCCCAGCGCGCCCGGGTCCCCGGCCCACGCCGCGTCCCACGCCGCCAACGGAGCCGGCCACGCGCCCGGGGCGTTGGGGTCAGGGCAGGGCGCCGGGCACGCCCCCGGGCACGCCGGCGAGGCCCACCGCCCACGGGACCGGGCGCACGGGGGCAAACCACGGCCCGGGACGGGCCTCGAGTGGGTGCCCCGGGAGCCCCGGGAGGCAACGGCTCCTCCCGCCGCCCAGATCGGGGTGTGAGGGGTTCAGCCGGCCCGCGGCCCGTGTCTGGGATGAGGCCTCCGGTGGCCACCCCGCCCCCCACCCCCAGGCGAAGCTGTGAGCGGGAGAGCTGTAGGCAGGCGCAGCGTGTCGGAGCCGCGTCTGAGAGCTGGCGCGGGGGGACCAGTGAAGCAGCAGCCCAGGTTCAAGTGCAATAAACGGAGACGTGAAAGCCCCGGTGGGTCTTCATGTCCTGGTCTCCCTGGCTTACGCCTGCCCTGTCCCGCCAAGCCCACGTCACCCCCTGGGGAGTCGGGCAGCCTCTGCCGGGGCCACATTGCTGGCATCCCGGGAAGCAGAAGAGGGCGTGGGGGCGGTGGGTGAGGCCACTGAGGCAGGGCAGAAGGACGGATGTGCCGGGTTGACTCAGGCAACAGGGAGCGCCGAGAGGCCTCAGGGGATCCAGGTCCTTGTCCCCACACCCTAGCCTGCCCCTTTGCAGGCATTTCCGAGGGCGGTGTCCCCGGTGACCTCAGCAGGCTGGTCCACTCCAAGGGTGGCGCTCTGCGCCTGGCATAATGGATTAATTAGGGTTCCCCGGCACTTCCGCCAGCTGGGGCGGGCAGCGCTGCACCCCGGAATAAGTAACTGTCCAGGGAGCACCTGCCCACGGGCCATCCAGGGCCACCTGATGAGCCCCTTGGGGACTGGGAAGTTGAGGCGCAGAGACGGGCACCTGTGGGACATACAGAGTCGGAGCCAGAGCCGGGCCGCGGTGGGGGCGGTGGTGTTTCTTAGCTACTGCGGCTCACACTTTCCCCTCCCACCCGTGTGATACAGCGAGGAGGCAGGTGGCACTCCTCAGACACCTTCTACGTCCTCGCTGGTCCAAGTAGCCACCCACTCAGGCCCACGGCGTGCCTGATCCAGTCCAGCTGGGGAGGGGGGACCAGCACTTAACCTGTCCCGTGTGACCAGAGCTCAAGGGTGTGACCTCTGAGCCAAGGCCCTAAGGGCTGAGGGGACAGGCCCAGAGGGAGCCGAGAACTCTTCGAAGGCACCCACCCTCAGGCCGTGCGGCCTGGTGGGGGTACTGACCTCGCACTGCTCAGCTCCAAGGCTTGGGCACAGCACCCCGACTCCACCGGCCAACGACTGCTTCCGAGTGGACGCGGGGCAGGAAGCCGGCATGTGACTGACTGAGGCGCTGCCTTCCAGTCCCGGCAGGGCTAAGCTTGGAGTAAACCCACACCTGCGAGGTGTTCCCCGGCGGGGGGGGGGGGGGGGGGCTTGCCTGCCGGAGAGTGAAGCCTCCACGGAGACACGTGGGACCCTGAGATGCCATTAGTTCACTGTCCGCAGGCCTGGGATTGGAGCCGGTGAGTCCCTCCCCTTTGCCTCCTTCGGCCGATCTGGCTCCGCCTTCCGCTTCTCGCCACCTCCAGTTGAGGTGGGAACAGATGAGCAGCAGGAGCAGGGCCCGCTCGAGAGGGAACAAACTCAACAAACTCGGAGACTGGCGGGGGGGGGGAGGGGGGGGTGGAAGCCGCGGCCCCCGTCACGTGGTGCCATCTGTGGCCCGTGTCTCTTAGACGCTGACAAAGCCTGAGTCCAACAAAGCTAAGCGGAGGGACAGGTGGGTGTCGCAGGGCAGCTGGGCATAGCCGGGACGGTGACGGGCCACCGGCCTTGCCATGGTCCGTGCAGCTTTGCCGCTGGGACCCCGCACCCAGGTGAGTCCTCGGGGCTGGTTCCCATGGACGGAAAGGAACGTAAGCGACGTGTGTCCCTTTCCCGTCGCGCCGAGTGAAGAAGCAGGTCTGCCCTCTCCACTCTCCTCCCCCATCCGCCCGCCGGGTGCAGGGGCTCCCCGGGGCCTAAGCAGAGGCAGAGCCAGGGAGACCCGGGGCCACAGGTCACTTTGTGGGGAACGGCCACCTGCTACCTGAACTTTCACATGCGCGAAAACAAACCCTGTGTGCCGGCACGGACGTCTGGCCACAGCATCTGGACTCGCTGGGTCTTCACGAGCCCCAGCGACGCCTGGGCGGCCGAAGGCCAAGGGAAAACACTTGGCCAAGGGGATCCACCCTGGTGATCCAGCACTGAATCCAGGATCCAGGTGGAAACCAGGACCCCCGCGCGGCCGGTCTGTTAGTGGCCCCGGGCTGTTCCAACAGAGTCCCGGGACCCGGGTGGCTCAGAACAGAAGTGTATTCTCCTGGTTCTGGCGCCCGGAAGTCTGAAGGGCCACGCACTCTCGGAGCGTCTGGGGCCGCCGGGGGCCAGCCGGTGGCCAGCCGGTGGCCATGCTCCCTGAGCTGTGGACGGCTCGTCTCCACCACACCCCGAGAGCCTAGGCCTGAAGCCGGAAGATGCTTCGGGGTTGTCTCCCTCTGGAGACACGGGATTGGCAGGTGGGAAGAAGATACGGGGGGGGGGGGGGGGGCCGGCCGGGGGGGGCACCAAGGCAGGGAATGTTGCGGGAAATGTGGCTTTTGTCTGTCCAGCCTCCCAGTTTTCCTCTGGGGGACCACGGCACGAACCCCATGGACGAGCGAGCCCTGCCCGCCCCGCTCCCTGTGCCCACAACTCCCGCGGGGGGCGCCCACGATCAGCACCAGCAGAGAGCAGGCGAGTGTGGTGAACCCAGCTCTGGTTTATTAGAAAAGGTGTGAACAGAGTTGCACCGACAGGAAGAGCCCCTCCCCCACCCTCTGCCCACCCGTACCCCACACCCACACCGCCCCCGGGGGTTGTAGTGCCTCTCAGGGCGCAGCCTCAAGGGGCCTGGACAGCAGGGTCCCCAGAACCCTGGCTGCTCCCCGCCCCAGCTCCCTGATAGATTTATTGCACTTAAGAAAAAGAAAGCTCTGATTCTCTGCTCCCAGCTCCCCCACCCCCCACCCCCAGCCCCGGCCCGCACCCCACCTGGGGCTGCTCTCCGCATCTCCACCACCGCCACTCACCGCCCCTCCGCCCGGTCCTGTGCCCGGGGCCACCGGGGGGCCACCCCTCCACCACCCGGGACTCCTGCCCGCCACAGGGCAAGCCGGGCCGAACAGGCCCTCTTGAAAAGGCGTCCGGCCTGGTGGCCGATGTCCTCGGAGACCTTCTCCTCCCATCCCCCCAGCCCAGAGCCTTCGAATGCCGGACACAGAGATACAAGTGCTTAAGTCAGGGCGGGGAGGGCACCCCCTGCAGCTCCTGCACTCCGTGTAGTGTTTTTGTGCGGGGCGGGGGCCCCCAGCAAGGCCCCCCACACCCCCGGCGGCCTGGGCCTCAGGGAGGCTGGGGGTGAAGGTGAGCAGATTCTCATGGCTCTGGCCTCAGCTCATCGAAGACTGATGGGAGGGGGGGGAAAAGGAACTTGGGGAGGAGAGATTGGGGGAGGGCCCGTCAGAGCCAGGGGCTCTACTGCCAGCCCCCCAGCCCCCCCTCCCCCCCCCCAGCCCTCTGGGGCCCCTGCCTCACCTAAAGTGTCACAGTGTCTCCTGCCCAGAGTCCTGACTGGCTTCCAGAAGCAGCTCCTCGAGCTCCTTCTCGTTCTTGGAGCAGCTCAGCTCTGCAAGGGGAGGCGACAAAGGGCAGGCGACCTCCTGTCAGGCAGGCGGGGATGGGGGTTCCAGTCTGACCCCCAGGGCAGCACGGGTCTCGGGTACAGATCTGGCCTTGCTCCCTCCCGGGGAGAGCTGCCCCGGATCCGAGGGAAGAATGGTGGAGGCCAAGGGTCAAGTCCTACTCTTTCCTACCCCTGCACGGGCCATTTTAAAGAAGAGAAAACCGAAGCCTTCCGAGAGGCAGGTGCCTGCCTGGGGTCACGCACAGCGCCCAGGGCCCTTGGGCACCCAGCCCCAGAGCGGCACTCACCGTGTTCCAGGCCACAGCTGCCCGCCTTGGCCTCGGGCCCCGGGGGCGGCTCCGGGGGCAGTGCGAGGGCAAACTCGGGCTTTAGGCCGTTGGGCAGTGGTGGCCCTGACTGAGGCGGCTCCAGCTGCGACTGAGGCTCCGACACCCCCGGGTCCTGAGTGCTGACGGCCTCGGCTGGTGGCAGGGCAGGTGAGGCGGGAGGGGAGGCTGAGGCAGGTGGGGAGGGAGGACGAGGAGGGGCAGGGGGGGCAGGGGAGGCGGGAGGGGTGGGAGGCACAGGGGGGTCTGCCCTCTCGGGTGGACTCTCCACCCGGGTCACCACAAATACTTTGTGGCCCCGGCCCGGGCTGGACACAGAAATGCGCTGCTCGGTGGGGGAGGAGGGGCTGCCTGGGGGGCTCCTGTCCCCAGGGCCCAGGGAGTCCGAGGGGGGCACCAGGGCGGGGCAGGGGGCCTCGGCCCTCTCCCCATCCTCCTCCTCAGAGTCCGAGTCCGAGTCCGAGTCCGGCCCGGCGGCAGGGTCCGGGGCCCCGTTCTCCTGGGCCTTGGCGGTGGGCTCGTCCCCGGGCTCCTCGTCGGGCTGGGGCTCGGTGACCGTGATCTCGGGCATGGAGGCCGACAGCTGCAGCCGCTGCTCCTTCTCCTCCTGCTCCCGAGCCAGCATGAAGTTCTGCTTGCAGCCGTTCTGGATCTCGGCGAGCAGCGCCTTCTGCGTCTCGATGAAGCTCTTCACCTGCGGGCGGAGCGGCCCGGCTAGGGCTCTGGCCGGCCTGTCCCCGGGGCGGGGGAACCCTGCGGTGGCCCCGGGGCCGGCCCGCCCTGCCCTGCCTGCCCGCCAGAGGCCTCAGGGGAGGGCCCACTCAGCTCACCGCCTCCTTCTTGGGCTCACGGTCAAGGTCCAGGCGCAGCAGCGAGCGGTTCACCTTGAGGGCCAACGACAGTGCCATGAGCCCGCCCGTCTTGATCTCGTTCTCCCGAAGGTCCAGTCTCAGGAGGCGGGGGCTCTCGGCGATGAACTCTGCCACCGCCACCGCGCCTGGGAGGGGGACCGCAGGGGCTGGCCACGGGCTAGCCGCCCGCCAAGCCCGCGGGCACCGCTCCCCTGGCCCGGCCCCGCGCCCTACCCTCGCACGTGAGCTTGGTGGCGGTCAGGCCCAGGCGCAGCACGCTGCGGTTGCTGATGAGGCCGTTCTTGAGGTTCCGCACGCCCTCGTTCCCGATGGGGTTGTGGCCCAGGTTCAGCGTCTCCAGGCTCTGTGTGTGCGGCTGCAAGGGGCGGGGCGTGACGGTGAGGCGAGGCCCCCAAGGCCGGTCCGGTCAGGAAAGAGGCACACCGAGTGCTCCCTCTCCGGCAGCGTCGCCCGGACAATCCTGCTTCAGGCCAGGTCCTTCGCATACTTAGAAGTGGCCACAGCGCCAGCCGCCCTGTCCACCCCCAGCCCCGGGCCCACTCCCTGCTGGGACCCAAGGGCTCAGGGCACAGACCTGGCCGTTGGGTGATTCTTAACTTGGACGGGAGTCTTTGTATCCTGTGGGCTTGTTTTACATACCACGTGTTTATTTAAAAAACTTTTTTGGATGTTTATTTTTGAGAAACAGAGAGCGCGAGCAGGGGAGGGGCAGAGAGAGAGGGAGACACGGAATCCGAAGCGGGCTCCGGCCTCCGAGCTGTCAGCACAGAGCCCGACGCGGGGCCTGAACTCACAAACCACGGGATCATGACCTGAGCCGAAGTCAGTTGCTCCACTGACTGAGCCAGCCAGGCGCCCCCCCAAGTATTTATTTTAAAAGATTTAAAACGTACTGAAGGCTTCCAGAAATAGTAACTTCCCACGCATAACATGTTCACCTTGTGCGAGACACTGCGCTACTACCGTGCTGGGCGCCAAGAGACAAGGGAAACGAGAGCAAGGCTACTTTCCTCGGGACAAAGAGGCCGTGGGAGCCGAAGGAGACCTCAAACAGCACGGAAAGGGCTGCTGCAAGGCTTCCTGAACTGCGGGAGAAGCCGGATCGGGGAAGACGGCGGCGCTGAGAGGTGGTGGCGGACACGTGGGCGCCCTCCCCTCTCCCGGGTCCCACTCACCAGCGTCATGCCCAGGAAGGCCATGCCCGTGTGCGTGAGCTGGTTGTTCCACAGCACCAGGGTCTCCAGCCCCTTCTTCTGCTCCTTGAGACCCTCGCAGATGTAGGCCAGACCTGGAGGAGACCCGTGGGCGAGTCCCGCCTGTGGTCTAAGTGCCTCTCCCGGGGGGCACCAGAGCCGCCGGCCAGTGAGAGCGCGGGCCCCCCCCCCCCCGCCCCCCCACAGGCTCAGGCCCAGCACAGGACGGCGCCCTGTCCGCTTCAGGACCCTGCTCGAGTGTCGCCCTCGCACCAGTCCACCGCCAGCCCAGCACTGCTGCTCTGTTTTTCTCCAGAGCACATCTCACCGTCCGACAGACTCAGTAATCTGTTCATCTGTCTTGGCGGTGTCTCTCCCGAGGGCAGACACCTCTGTCTCACGGCTGTGAGCCCACAGGCAGCAGGCCCGGCACGTGCCAGCTGCTCAGTAACCGTGGCGTCCGGGCCCGGCCTCGACGCCCTCTGCCATTCCCCCAGCCCTCTCCTCCCACCGAGGCCAGGGGACCCCGCTCAACGGTAAAGAGGATGAAACGGAGTTCCTCTCAGTAACCACTTCCTCCTCCTCCTCCCCTTTGACCCCCCAGCTCACCGTGGCCTCGTCTCCCCCCAGACATCCACCATCTAGCCTCTTTCCCACCTCGGGGCCTCTCGCACTTGGTGTTCCCCTGCCTGGATTCTTTTTCTAGGTCTTTAAAATGGCCGGTTCCAGTCTCTCTCCACGTGGCCGCCCAGAGGCCCCCTCCCCACATGATCTTAAATAGCGTCTGGTTGGCCCCTTGTCCCAACAACCTTGTTTCCTTCAGGGTACTTTTTCCAGGTGGTAATTATTTTAATTATCTGTTCAATACCTCGCGTCATCCTGCAGGTCTCCGCTGAGCTGTCCCCTCCTCCAGGACGCCCTCCCTGGGCTCCCACAGCCCAGCCCTGCCCAGTCTGAGCGGTCACTGCCTGGGGATGTTCCCTCTTGGACCGGCAGCCCCAGGAGGGCAGGGCTGGGATCGTCCTGGCCACCGCTGTGTCTCCAGCACCGCGGGGGCACCTGGCTGGGCACACGGCGGGTGCTCGGTGGCTGCGGTGGGGTGGGCAGACCTCTCACACACCTGAGTCCAGCACGTGGTTGTTACGGAGGTCCAGGATCTGCAGGGAGCAGTTGAACTTGAGGAGGTTGCCCAGCTGGGCCGAGTCTTGCAGGCCATTGAGCTTGTTGTCAGCCAAGTACAGCTCCCTCAGATTCACGTTCATCTTCAGCGCTGTGGCTGGGGGAGCACGGGCAGAGTGCCGTGACCGGCCAAGCCCCGGTGCCCGGCGGGCGGCCCGTCACTGCCCGGCGCCCCCGGCCCCCGAGCTCACCGAGCAGCATCAGCGGTCGCCCCGACAGGCTGGCGTTCTCCAGGTGCAGCACCGCGAGGCTGCTGCGGATGCGCAGGGCGCGGGCCACGAACGGTGCCGAGTGGTCCAGCAGGGGCGTGTTTCGGGCATCCAGGTACTGCAGGCAGCTGGTCTGGTGGGGCAGGGGTGGGGCTGCGACGGGCCGGCCCGGCCCTCCCTGCCCCCGTGGCATCTCCCGCCCCCCGGCCGGGTGGGCACCCGGGCCCCGTGAGGGAAGGCCCGGCCTGGAGCCCCGCGGGTGAGCCAGGAGGGGCCCCCAGGCTCCCCCGCGGCAGACGCCCCGCACGAGGGAAGGGGGTGGCAACCGCAGCCACTTCCAAGGGGTATGTCGCGGGCAAGCGAAGGACGGGGGAAAGATGCGTGAAGGGAGGAAAAGGGGTTGGGGTTGCCCTGGGGCAGGGCACCCTTGGCACCGCTTTCCCACTAGCCTGGAAGCTGGGCACCGGCGCCCCACCGACGGCCCATGCCCCGAGGGCTCGGGAAGCCAGGTCCCAAGGGACGGGTGCCCCGGGAAAGCGCCTGGATCCCCCTGTGCCCGAGCCCCTTCCACCCCGGGTACAGGTGAGGGGCACCGACCTTGCGCATCATGTGGGCTGCGGCCTGCCAGCCCCGGGTGCCGATGTGCTTGTTGAAGGAGATGTTGAGGTGGGTGGCCGACTCGTAGTATTCGATCATGTCGAAGAGGGCCGAGGCGCCCTGTGGCACACACAATGGCGTTTAGGCTCAGGTGGAGGCAGGCCCAGGAGGCTAGGAGGTGGGGGCCACGCGACTAAGGGAAGGGGAGAGCCCTGACGCTGCCCGGGCACCTCCGGGTTCCGGGAACCAACCCGCCCGCTCCTGCCGGACTCCGTCTTTCTCTTACTCGCCACCACCCCCGAAGTCGGGCAGATCTGGCGCGAGACCAGGACAGGCCCTGGTGTTCCTGGGTCTCAGTTCTCCAGGAGTCCATCCACCGGGTCTCCCAGTGGCCTCCAAGTCTGGGGAGGTGAGGACACCTAGGCCTAAATGGGGAGGCTGCTTTCTGAAGGTTTCTTAAACTCTCCCCTACAGGTGCCATTAGCCCCAGCAGGGGTTCCTGAAAAGGTTTCCGGTGGTCACACGGCTGCCCCCACTAAGGCCCAGCTCCCCAAGTCCCTCCCTTGCGTCAAGTCCCTTGCCTTTGGGGTGGGTCTCTGACACCCCACCCCAGAGCCCCAATATTCCTCACACCCGCTCTGGTCACACTGGCTGTGTCCCCATCTTGTCCTTCAAGAGGCCCTGCCCAGCTGTTGTCCAAGGAGGCTCTTTTGCTGCAGCGCCCCCTCCCCCCAAACCTCAGAGGGGCCAGAGGGCTCAGGGAACAGGTGAGGCGGTGGCAGGGGCTGCTCACATCTTCGTCCAGGTTTGTCTGCTCCAGGTCCAGGACCTTGAACTGTAGCCTCTTGAAGACCTCTTCCAGGGCCTCACAGGTCTTGTAGTCGAGTTTCTCGCCTGGGACGAGACAGAGGGCCGGGCACGTCTAGTGCACCTGTGTGTGTATGTGTGCACTCGCGTGCCCCGGGGGGGTGGGGGCCGGAAACGCGGGCTCCAGGCCAGGGGAGGCTTATTGCGCCTGCCTCACGTCAGGGGGGGCGCCTGCCCCTGCCCCGGCTAACCTCCCCTTCCCGCAGGACCTGCCAGCCCAGACCCACCCCCCAAGGGTCCCGGCCTCTGTCCAGACACGCACCTTTCAGGTCCAGACAGTCGATGCGGTGCCCGAGATCTGTGAACTCCTGGGAGAACAGAGCGGATGGTGAAGACAGGAAGACACCCTCAGGAGCCAGGCTGGACCCTGACAGCGGGGCGGGCGGGGCTCTGATCTGGCTCCATTTCTGAGGTGGGGGCCGCGCGCAGGGCCTCAGAGAAGAGGGGCAGTTCCGCACCCACAGGGCCCGGGCCAGGCAGCTGGGGCACAGTCCCTCCGCCCCAGCTGGGCATCTCTGGGGCGAGCATCCCAGGCAGAGGGAGCAGCCAGCACGAAGGCTGTGAAGCAGGTGCTGAGGCAGGGAAGGCTGACAGGCCTGGGGTGAAGGCCAGGCCCCAGGCCCCACACAGCAAGCGGTCAGGTGTGGGCCTGCTGGGGGTCACGTTCTGTTCTCGGGGCTCCACACACATTAACCCGTGGGGCGGGTGCTGTGACAAAGCCATGCGCAGACAAAAGGCTCGGGGCCAGCCTTGCCTAAAGTCACTTGCTAGTGAGGGACAGGCTTGGTCGGAACCAGATGGTGGGCTCCAGGACCCACACTTTTGGCCACCACGCAGAGTGACTGTCTCTCCCTGGAGCTGCCGACAAGCCCTTCTGGAATTCTCCCAGAAACCCTTAAACCCAGTGAGCAGGAAGTCCCTAGCTGGATGGCAAGAGTGACTGCTCACAGTAATGCTAAGGGAACAACAACCCTGGAAACAAGCAACCTTGCAACATTCTGGAATGAGCCCTCCAGCGAGAGGACAGGCACCTTGTGGCACATGGCTACAGGGGGAACACGCCACAGGCACAGGAGTGCCCCGTTCACATAAAAGCGGCAGGTACCCTTGTGTCTGTGTAACTCTGGATAGTGAACTGCCCTCTTACAAACGCAGCACAGCAAAGGCCAGAGGACAAAGCCCCCAAGCTATCAACAGTGGGACTCCTGGCAAATGAGACTTGACTAAGAAGTGAAAGGTGGATTTTGTTTGTGCCTGTAATATTTTAATTACAAAAAAAGTCAGACACGGGCCGGTGGGCGGCTCAGTCGCTGGGTGTTCGGCTCCTGGTTTCGGCCCGGGTCACGATCTCACGGTTTGTGGGGTCGAGCCTGGCATCAGGCTCTGGGCTGACGGTGCGGGACCTGCTTGGGGTTCTCTTTGTCCCCCTCCCTCTCTGCCCCTCCCAACTTGTGCTCTTTCTCAAACTAAATAAACTTAAAAAAAAAAATCAGACAAGGTATATATTAAACAGAGAATATAAAGAATAAATGTGCACGTTTCCCCTGGGGAAGAGAATTTCTTTGGGGAGTGATAGATATTTGAAATTCTTATTTTTGTTTTTTATTATTATTATCTTTAAATGTTTATTTTTGAGAGAGAGAATGCACGTGCGCGTGGGGGAGGGGCAGAGAGAGAGGGAGACGCGGACTCTGAAGCAGTGGCCTCCAGGCTCCGAGCTGTCGCACAGAGCCTGACGCGGGGCTCAAACTCACGAACCGTGACATCATGACCTGAGCTGCAGTCGGACGCTTAGCCGACTGCGCCACCCGGACGCCCTGGGCATTCTCACTTTGTATAGTTGCATACCGTTTAAATATTCATGACGAGCCTGATTGCTTTCACAGC